CATGACGCCCGGCCCGCTGACCCTCGCCTCCACCTGAGGGCCGCCCCTTTCGCCGCCGTGAGGACCTCGCTCAGTCTGGCCGTGAGGACCTCTGGCCGTGAGGACCTGCTTGTGGTCGTGAGGACCTCTTGGCGGGTGCGAGTTTCTTTTCATCCATGGAGCAGTTGCCTGCTGGCCGTCGGCGAGTGGCGCGGCGGCGCGAGGGCCTGTCGAGGCGGAAGAAAAGCAAAAATCCGTGGATTGCGTTCAAACCATCATGTCAATACACCGATGCAATACAGAATATTGAATTGGAGCAGGCGCACATCGCTTCCAGGGAGGGGGGCGCGCTTCTACTCACACCACATGCTAGGGGGGGGGTCCGACCCCCCCAGCACCTTCACCACATGCTAGGGGGGGGGTCGTGGCCGAGGACCCCCCCAGAGACTCGTGGTCAGACCCTCCGGGCCCTTGATTTTACGCCTCATTTCGCAGTATTTTCGAGAGGAAAATCATCCTTTGGAGCTACATGAGCCTTGAGACTGGTCAGATTATCCAAGATATTGGAGTTTTAGCCACGATTTCACAACTTTGGGGGCAAAATCGGCTCTCTGGCGGCTATTCCTAGCCCACAAACTGCTGGGGGGTGCCCACCACATGCTAGGGGGGGGGGTCCGACCCCCCCAGAGGCTTCAGGCTTCACCACATGCAGGGGGGGGGCGTGAGTAGAAGCGCGCGCCCCTCCCTGGAAGCGATGTGCGCCTGCTCTCGGCAGCCCGAGCGCCGTCGACCGCACCGACTACGGCACAGCCTCCGGCAGCGCCCGGGGCTTCGCCCAGCACCATTCGCAACAGCTCTCGCGCGCCGCCGTCTGTGGCGACGCGCAAAACATCAACAACGCAGCTCGCAACATGCGTGTCGCGCACTGTTCCCCTCGCGACAAAACACCATCATGTCGCCCTAAAGGGCGACAGCTAGAACATTCATGACCGGTCTCAATGTCCCACCCCCCTGCGCGCGGGCCTTCTAGGCCCGCGGGTAGTCTCCCCCCATCCCCAGGGCCTCCAGGGCTCGCACTTCAACCTCTCACCGACCAGCGCACAGACAGCGCCATTAGGACGTATTTTCTTCTCATATAACAAGGTTGAGGCTTGAGCACTTGAGCACTGGATAGGGTCGATTCCGCGTGTACGGAAGCAAGGTCCTGCTCGGGAAAAGTG